GTGCTGCATAAGCTTCTCTTGATCAGTGTGTTATGCACATAATCTTGTGCCAAGCAGATCTTCCATGTACTTGTTGGATTTCTAATTTGACATAAAGCTACTTTATACAAAAATGGCCAATTTGCTTTATCCATTTTGGGATTAAACCCTCATACAATGCTTGCACTCAAAGAACAACACTTTAACACATTGAATATGCATTAAATTATGGAGTGTAACTTGGTTTAAGGACCTGTAATCTTGCCTAAAGCAAGCTGAGTTCAAATGGTAAGGTTATGGACATGTCTTGATGAAGAACAAAAGTGAATTTTTGCCAACTTGTGAAATTCGAATCTCTCAAGTTATGAGGTTTTTTGATGAGTTCTTGGACATTTTGGAAAGCTTGGAATGTGTACTACAATCCATCTTTGAAATGCAAATTGAAATTCCAAGTGGAAGCGTATGAAAAATGGCCTTGAAGTGGGGTAGAAAACCTTGTCAAAATAGGTTAAAATTTCACTAAGTTAAAAATGGTTTAGTGCCCTTATTCAAAAAATTGTAACTTGAGATACAAGCTTCAAATGAGAAAACTTTGTGAATCAAAGTTGTAGATTATGCAACAAGCTACAACTTTCATGTTTTGACTTTTGTTTGAATCCAAATGGATCTTGGTGAAAAGATGGGGCAAAGTTGGGAAAAAATTAGGGTTTTTCATAACTTAGAAAAATTCTAAGTTATGAAAAATTCCATTTTCTAACCCTAATTTGCATTTTGTGATTTCTTGGTGAACAAGTTTCATGATTTGGCATGTTTTGATGAAAAATGAATCTTGACTCTTGATTTTGACCAAAAAGTCAAAGTTTGACTTTTCAGTATACAGTCAAAATTGATCAATTGACTGGGAAATTCAACTGTCAACCTTGTGTACTTGGGATCTTTTGAGCTTGATGAATGTGTCAAGACCATTTTATTGAGTCCTTGAGTCCATATGTGAGCTTGATTTGCCATTGGCTAGGTCAAACAGTCAAAAATTGCTTTTGTGCAGTCAAAACCCTAAAAATGACCATTTTGCCCTTTTGGTGATCTGATCAAATTTCTTGTGGAATTGTGATCCAAACTTGATCGAATGGTCCATATGAGTTCATAATGTTGATGTGGATCAAATTTCATGAGATTTGACTGTCAATTGGCCACAGTTGACTTTTTCCCCAATACAGTTGATTTCTAGGTCAACTGCCCAATTGACTGGGCAAAACTTGGAATCAAGACTTGAAACTTGGCATGGGTAAACTTGGGAGTCCAACATGAAGCATGAAAGTCATCTTAGGCATTTTAGTTCAAAACATCCTTGGGCAAACACAAACCCTAATTTGAGTCCACAGTGCAAGGAGAAGTCTTGAGCAGAGGAAACCCTAACTGGATCTTGATCTTCAAAGGTCTTGTGATGAGAAAATGTTGAGGAAATGGGAGGGCAAATTTTGGGGTACAACAGATGGAACAAATACTTTTCTTATTCTTGTTAAAGAGTTTTGGATTCATGCTACTTCATCCAACCACCAGGCCACATCATATGTTATGGGGAAGAAGATAGTGATTACAGAAGATTTGATTGGGAAACTCATTGGATACAATGGCGGCGGAGTCAGATGCATTGATATGGTTGATAAGTGTTCTGACCTAAAATCCATTGAAAGGGTCACGTTCACTTCTGGACAGCCATCCAGCAAGATCAGAGACTTGAAAGATCATTACAGAATTTGGGATAGAATCATTCTGGGATGTATCCATCACAGGAAACCTACAAGCTCTCCCGATTACATCAACGTTGATCAGCAGTTTCTGATATACTTCATTGCGAAGAAGACCAAAATAAATCTTCCACATTTTCCCTTCAACCATCTGAGAATAAGTGTGAAAGAGACAAGAGAAGAAGAAAGAACTAAGAGGGATTGAATTCCTCTGGGAAGACTGATTTCAGATATTCTGACGGAAAACAGGCTGATAGAACATCTGACAGAGGCTCAAGAAATCAACACTCTGGAAGAAACTGCTGGGAAACCACTGAATGCCAAGAATCTGAAAAAAATGAAGATTATTGAAATCACTAAGAAGGAACCAACAATTTCTTCTCATGAGGTAATCACTTCTAGGAGAATCCCTCTAAAGGATTTCCTACTATTCTCTAAGATAGATGCTTCTCCAGAGATTGTAGTTAGATACCTTGAAGCTTGCAAGGAAGATGAGACTATTCCAGAAATCAACATCAATGACCTGCACAAGCCAGCTCCAGAGGTTGTGCTAAAGAAATCCAGAAAGAGGAAGGCAGCAGGAGAAGGATCCTCTCAGAGGACACCCAAAGCTGTGAAAAAGAAAGGTAACACATCTTTTGTTTCTGTTTTAGAATCAATAGTTGTTCCAACATCTGAAACCATTCCCCCCCAACCAACAGAAAATCCTTCACCTCAAACATTTGAGGATTTTGACATAGAGTTTGACCCATTTGTAACTCTTGGCAATTTCTTAAATGAACCTCACTCCCCCAATCCAAATCCAAGACAAAATCAACCAGAACTTGCAAAGGTTCTCTCTGATATTGAACTGTTTGATCAAGACTTTTCCTCACCAATCCCAGAAAATCCAAATACTCAGTTTCAACAACCAGAAAATCCACAACCGCACTTTCCTCAACCAGAACATAAAAACCTCAACTCACCCCAACCAGAAAATGAAAACCCTCTCACTCCTCAATCTAAAAATCCATCTTCTAAAACACCTGAACCAGAAATTCAACATGCTACCACAAACCAATCAGAAGACTCCCTTTCAGACTTGATACCACTACCCTAATTCCTGGGATAACAGAACCTCTTACGGTTCGCTTACCTCTCTCCATTCATGATATTCCAGAAATACCTTCACCATATGAATCCACACCACCAAACACTCCTCACTCACCAACCCTGATTTCTGATTCTTCTACTCCCTCACCAATCAACCGTCCAGCTGATCACCTCAGAACTGTCATTGATCTAGAAGCGATAGACCATCTAGCTTCCACCTCAAATAAAATTGCAATCCCCAAACCTAAACCAACCTTAACCAAATCAGATGTTGGTAAGAACCTGTTGATTTTTGAAACAGAAATACAGGAATGGGTTACTTCTTTGAAGCAAGCAAGTTAAGAGAATTCTAATCCTGCTGCTTCTGATTCTGTGGGATAGATTCAGAAAATGGTTCAACTCTGAATCCTAGAAGCTGAAAGAATTGAGCTATGAGATAGCTCAGCAGAACTTCAGTGATCAGCTGAAAGCCTTCAAAGATCAAGTTCTAAGCCACTAGGACAAGAAAGAAATTCTTCTGCTGGAAAATGCTCCCTGGAAAGAGCACCAACCTTCAGAAGCCACTGAACCAGTGTCTGAGAGTCACCCTCTGACTACTGCTCTAGAAAAGGAAATTTCAACAGAAGAAGTTGTTCAATCAGAAGAGGCTGTAGAGTGTTCTAAACGACATGCAACCCCTGAAGATACACCAACTTCGTCTCTAGTCATGCAAACTCTGGAAGAGTTGAAGAAGGAGAATGCTCTAATCCACGCAAAGCTGGATAAGCAAGAAGGCACAAACAAAGAGATCAGGGATATATTAGACAAACAAGAAGATACAACAAAAGAAATCAAAGACATTCTGGAAAAGCAGGAAGAATCAAGCACTCAGATTAAGAGCTTGCTGGAAGCGTTGTTCACACGACTTCCCCCTCCTTCTTAGATTTTCTTTAACTTATTATCTGTATTCTTCATCTTATCCTCTTTGTTTCTGAAAAATGTCATTGCCTTCTGTTTTCAATACAAATCATCTTTTTGACTCTGATTATATTTCTTTTTGATACCTGACAAAAAGGGGGAGAACGTAAGATATTTTCAATAACAGTATACCGGGACAAAGTCTCAAACATTATGAATATCTTAACTTCTATGTTTTCTGAAAGCTTGAACAGGAACATATTCTGATAAGGACAGAAGGAGATGCATCAAAAGCTCTGACGAGAAGGAACTTCAGGGATGTAACTCATCTCTATCTGAGTAATCAACTCAGGGGGAGACTCTCTTAAGCTTTTTGTTCTATATTTTTTATTGAAAATCCGTTTTTATTATCATCAAAAAGTGGGAGATTGTTAGAACATAGTTTGATTCTACAACCCTTAATTAGAGTTTTGATGATAACAAACACAAAGAACAAATATGCACTCTAAATTTGTGTTGTTTTGTATGCAGAAATTCTGACTGAAACAACATCTGAAGTTAAACCACATAAGCTTTCAAGTTGAGCTAATCAGAATGTTCTGAAGAATGATGATCAGAATCTGCGTTAAAGTAAAAGATACTTTGACTCTAAACAGAAGTCTAATATCCAACAGATCCTCTCATCTCCGAGTCATCAAAGTTTTGAAGTAAAAGCAGCATGCAAGATTCTATAGTTCTAAATCGTTAGTTTTCAATTAAGACAATATCATATGCAACAGTTTCATTCAGACAAGAATCTTCTCAATATGGAAAGTGCATTGAGTGTCCATTATCACGATTTATTTTGGACAAGATTTCCACGCCTATATAAACAAGCTTAAAGGACAAATCGTTTACGATTTTCACCTGCAACTGCTCATACATCTAAAACACTACAAATATTCATATTCTCTTATACTCCCAAATTGTGTAATACATCACAGTAATGATACAATTTTTGTAACGAAAAACAACAGTACACAGTAAATCATCTTCTTTTGATTAATCTATTTTCCTTGAGATAAATCGGGTTGTGGTTGTACTCAAGAAGACTTTGGCAGTTATCAAAGGAGAATAATAATCAGTTTTGATTAGTGAATTAAGTCCTCGTTGGAGAGAGGCAAAATCACCTTGGCGAGTGGATTGGAGTAGTTTGAGATTAAACGAACCAGGATAAAAATATCGTGTCTACTGCTTTTGATTTTAAGTTTCAATTCAATCCCCCTTCTTGTGTTTTTCGCTTCTTCAACTGTTTTGTTGAAGGGAGCTCAAGGGAACCTGTTGCAGAGAGTTCATAAAATTTCCTTTCCTGGCCTCTACATTATTACTTGGTTGAATTGTATTAGACATATTTTGTTGCGTTGTTGATAAACCAGACATAGAATTAAGCTGCAAGCTCGCAGCAATGTTCTTCTTTACAGTCGCTGAAGAACCTTGTAAGTTTGAAGGTTGCATTTGGAAGATCATTTGATTTTCATGAGACTGTAGTGAAGTCTCATAGAAATTTCCTGGAATATTTCATTCAGATCTGGCAAGTAATTTTCTTTCATGGTTTGCAACTGTAGATTGAAACAAGCAAAGTCAAATAATCATAACATTGGTATCCTTCAAATCCCTCATACAATGATGTTTGAATCACTCTTGCATAACACTTCTAGATATGATATGAGAAGTTCATTTCGGTTTTGGTTTCTTTTCCTATTGTGTTGTGTTATCATAAGTTTCATTTTCATGCCTAAATTGAGATGATGTCTAGAGTTAACAGTAACGCCAACTTTCACTTTCACTGAAGCAATGCAAAATATATAAAAATGGAATCAGACTACTAATTATAAAGACTACTTCAATGGAACGACGACTTTAACTAACTCTATTTAAAAAAGTAGTAATAAAAACAACGCATTCAGGACATAAAACTGAATTTACTGTGGTCAAACATCAGCAATTTATATAAGTTGCACAGCGTAAGATTTCAAATATTATGCTAAAGATGAGAATCATTCATTCAAACATTGCAAAGAATGGATAGCCGGTTTCAGAAATATTAAAAAAAAGAACTTGATGAGTTTCCCCTGAAGTAGGCATGGTAACAAAATTCAAAATGGTCTACACCCACCCAAAACCGCCCTGACTTTGGCGAGGACACCCCGGTGGATAATGGGTGTGGGGCTGGGAAAACTAACTTATGTCAGAGCTGGGGGAGGAATGGATTAAAGAAAGTAAGTTGATTGAGAAATGTTCCTTTCGTGCATCACCTTCTACCTCTGAAAGGTCATGATCAGAGAAAGTATTGTTGAATGATACACCATTTATGGTATCTTACTATTTTCACTCTATCGCTTGGTCTAGTTCTACCAGAGTACTTTGCAGTTTCTAATAGAACTATTAATCACAGAAAATAATGACAAGGCAAAATACATGGATGCAAGCACATACTTGTGGATGTTTCAGGAAGAGCTCTTTGGGAATGATATAATTGTTTTTGATGATCAAGAACACTTTGCTGTTGACGTAAGGACCCTGATGCTTGGAGATTTTGCTGCATATCTCGTTGCGAAGAACTTGGCTGCAGCTGCAAACCCATTTTCTGTTGTGTTGCAATTGTTGCTGCAATGTCGAAGGCTGCATAGCAAATGATATTTGCATAACTGATTGTTGAGAGGCATTCAACTGATTTGGCTGCCTTAGGTTCTGCTATCGTTGTTGCTTCATCTGAGATAGCATATGCTTCTTAACCAGTTCCTGCTGCTGGTAAAGAATCTGTTGATTCTGTGGTTGTTGTTGCTGTGGGGTAAAACTAGCTGCCTAGCTCGCATTTGTCTCTGAGAAGCAGGAAACATACCCGGTATATTGGAATTCTGGCCAATAGAATTACTCGCGGAATTTAGCCCAGGTTGCTGTGTGTTGGAAAATAGGCTATTATTCTGGCTGGGAGTCTGAGATAGAGTCGATAGCAATGACAGGTTAGGTTGAGGTGCAACATGATTTTGAATGGTTTGGGGTAGAAGCTGCTGATGAGGAGTAGGATGTTGAGACTGTAAAACAAATCCTGTGATAAAGGAAAAGAAAACAAATATGGATTATCACCATTTTGATTTTAATAACACATTTAGAATCTATAAAGCACGGACACTCCCAAAATGACGCAACACCGACAAGAAGACACCAATAAATTAAACAGAATCACAAATGTTGGTGCAGGTGTGGGTAGCATACCTTGATCGGGAGGATTATTGGTAGGAGATCTTTCTTTAGTGTCGAGAGTGGGTTCAGAACCCTGATCAGGTATCAAATTATTGGAATCCATGGAAGCTGAATTACCTGATGAACAAGAAAAAGTACAGTCATAAGCAAAATTCTAAAGAGACACTAACTAATGGTGTAGTAAGTTAATCGCGACCAATAGCACCACAATCGCTGTAGTGCGGAGAGGCCGTTGGCCGTTACAGCGATGCAATGTCGCGAGAACGACACGGCGCGTGTAGCTGCCGTTAGGGAGTATCGCGTCGGTAGAATGAAGAATGAGAGTAGAAAAACAAACCAGTATTTTTACTGAATTAACGTAACTGTTGCTAGCCTGCTAGGTTAAACTTTGGGACTTCCGCAAAGTGAAACGGTGAAATATGTAAAAGATCGTAGTAAAACAAATCTTCATATAGAGGAGTTGAGGATAACAACAATTTTTTTCCAATTTGTTTTCATTTATTGCTACTTTTTCGCTATAGGATTGTCAAGGAGGACTAACGACTCTTAAGAGATCTTTACGAGTACCTTTCTTGTAAGGCAGGACCGCAACCACATCCTTTTGATAGTTTGGAGTAGTCTATTCAAGAGTGAGACAACGTGCTAATCTTCATTACTCATATAGATCTCGTTAGTTTCCAGTTTGAGACCACATCCTTCTTAAAAGGGTCAGATATTCATTCACTCATCTATACTCTCACTTTGCTTGCATTTGTTCTAAACCTTACTTTAGCATCCGAGTGTATTCCAGATATCTCCAATTCACATTCAACCGCTGCTCAATTTGAAGTTCGTGGGCCTTGACGATCCCTTCTGATTATACACGATCAGAAATCAAGATTAATTAGTGTCCAAATATTACTTTTATTGACTAAATTATGACATTGTCCAATTACAACTATATGTTTTGCGTTTTATCCAATTGATGAGTGTCAAAAAATAATTTTTAATGACTAAAGTTTGCTATTGTCCTATCTGAACGAAAATGTAATGTATTCCTTACATATGATGTGATTCCATTTGCAGACAAAAGACCTTTTGAGATTCAACTCTATACAAAATGCATCTTTCTAATAAACACCTTTTTGAAAAGTTGTTTTCTGTCTTCCTCTTCTTCTTTATCCTTCTAATACACACTTTCTTTTTTGCACAGACCGAAACTTCTTCTTTGCACACACTGAAGTTTTTCCACATTCACAATCTTGTCTTGCCTTATTTTTTTTCATCTGGTTTTTCATTTTCGTTTCATCCTGAGCGTTTTCCTTTGATTTGAAATGGCAAAACCTTTTGAGACAGTCGACGATATTTATGACAATGGGGTGGGTTTGATTGTACAACTATTTTTTCCTTCATTGTTGCATTTTTTCTAATATAAACTTTAAAATGGTTATAGTTTTGTATATTTGGATGTTATGGCGTGTAATAAAAGCTTATTTTGTGTCGGTTTCTGAAACATATGCCATGAAAAATGATTAATTTGTGTATGTTTCTGAAACATATGATGTAATGTGTTTGGTTCTTAATGTTGTTCATAAACCACTATGTAGGGCGGTGTGCCATCGAAGGCGAAGCTTGCTCGTGGTGGCGCGGAGACTGCGTGAACGTTGCAGTTATGCATTGTGGGGCCTGTCGGTGAACACAGAGGGAGTTCTGTGTGTGGAAGGCTTCCGACGAGCGCTGCGTGAGCGGCGCCGCCGACCTTGCGTGATTGTACGGAGGACGTCGGAGCGGTCTGATGTCAAGCAGGTGAATGGTGAGCTCGAATGCGGTAGTTGCGGAGACGTGACAGTTTGCACGGTGGTTGAGCGGTGCTCGCGTGGAAGGAGCAGCTTTGGTGCGGACAGTGAATTCGGTGTGATTCGAAGGCGTCGACGATGAAACGACAACTTACAGAGGTTTTAATTTCTGCTGATTCAGTTTTTGTTATATACTTTTTCATGCATTCTTCTCCTTCTCTTTTTTTATTATGTTTAAGTTCAGATTTTGATAATGACTTTTGATTTAATTTATTTATTGTTTTGCAGAAAAAAATGATATGATGTTAAAGGTGTTTTGGTTTTGTTGTTTTTGGATGATGTTGAAAGTATGAAAGTGGTGTAGTTGGAGTTTATGTTTGAAGGTGGATGACTATTGTATAAATTATGAATGTGCATATAGTGATAGTGGTGAATGGTGATGTTAATAATGTTGTTAGACAATTTATGAATTGAATGTTTGATTGAAGGAATTGTGTTGGTGGTGATTTTAACATTAGCAGTTAACCATCATACTACTACTTGTTTTTAGCTGTATTACATAAATATAAAAAAATATTATAACACATTATAAAAACCTGCTATTCTGTCCAATGCCCATGGCTATACCAATTTTATGTCAACATATATTAAATATTTATGTCTTTGTCACAATGTAAATTAATGTAGGCTTTTAGTATTTGCACTTATTTGGAATGAGATTTATTACTATACATTAATTTGTCTCTTAAATTCAATTTTAAAAAAAAAAATGATTTTTGTAAAAAAATTAAGTTAGATGTCAAAATAAAACTTAAAATATTTTTAAATTAATAAATGAATCTTAATTTTTTTTTCATAGGAACAATTTTTTTATTTATCTAAATATTTTTATAAATAATGTTGAAACAAAAATATATTTATATACGGGATACGAGAAAAAATATGGTTAATCTAAATATTTTTTTATATAAAAAATTATATTTATGATCATAATATAAATAAAAATATGTCTTTATTTTAAAAATAATAAACTGTTTTAGTTAAGCGATTTTGTTTTTATTTCTTATTACTCTTTTTACATTTTGAAAATAAGTACATGTAACACACCACTATCTATGCGCATGTAATACACTAGTTCCGTGTGAACGTGCAAGTAATTATATCAAAATTTATGCGAACGCACGAATTTAATATATGAAAAATTAAAATCTATATTATTAAAGTAAAACAATTTTGATAAAACAATTTTATTTTTTCTTTAAAAAATATCTTTCTTTTAAAAATAATAAATTTTTTTGATAAAATAATTTTATTTTTTTTATTTACAATTTTATTACATTTTGAAAATAAAAAGATGCATTTCACCTTAATACTCGTGTGAACATACGCGTATTCTATTAGTGTTGCTATAAAAGAATGAGATATAAATGATTATTTTAAATTTTTTTAAATTAAAAATTTTGATAGTCATGACTCTAATGTGCATAGATAATAGATTTATTATAAATAATTAATTTTTTTTTTAATTTTTGAATTTTTACTATTAATTTAGTTATTTTTTATGCTAATGAATCTTCGTAGAAACCGTAAGGATATGCGAGAATAGTGATAAAAAAAAAACACTACAACAAGGATCCAATACAGAATTAGGGAATATATTTAAAGATGGAGATGTGGATGTATCATGTGATCCTCCCTCACTCACCTTATTGACATCTCTATTTACTTATAACTTCTATGTTTGTCTTAAACTCTATAAATTTCTAAAATTACTTATTTATTTAGTTCCAATAAAAAAATTTGAATGCAGTTTATATGTTTGTCTAAATAATATTATTTAAACAAAGCTCTGATTGAATTAATAATCATGTTTAAATAGAGGTGTGTCATTTTTTAAAATTGTGTTTGCTGAAATTAAAACCGTTATAATGTTTACATTTAAATTGTCATAATTTGCCACTTTTTTTTTGAAATTTGGTTGGATAATAATATTCAAACAAACCACTGACTCAATTAATAATCATATTTTGCACTTATATATTTTTTCCGGGTAATATTATTCAGAGGAGCTGAAAAAATAATTTTCAACTAGTCATTCATTGGAGTTTCTAATTCTGTAACGAGAAGGTCTTTTTAAAGGTGAAACTTTTCACAACCACACGGTCTAAAATTAGGTTAATACCCTGATTGCCCTTTCTTAAAGCGTGGATTAATTGAACATTCAAATTAAGCTTCAACAAGTCTTTGATAGAAGAATCATGGTTGCATAATAATGCGAATGAATATCATTTATAGAAATAAGGTTCAGAGTGAGCCTAAAACAAAAATAAAAAATAACATTCAAGTAGTCATTCATTGGAGTTTCTAATTCCATAACGAGAAGAATCTTTTTAAAGGTGAAACTTTTCACAACCACACGGTCCAAAATTAGGTCAATACCCTGATTGCCCTTTCTTAAAGCGTGGATTAATTGAACATTCAAATTAAACTTCAACAAATCTTTGATAGAAGAATCATGGTTGCGTAATAATGCGAATGAATATCATTTATAGCAATAAGGTTCAGAGTGAGCCGGAAACCAAAATAAAAAATAACATTCTCAAAGTTGTGACCCTTAACTATTTCTTACCCACAAAGAATTACATCCAACTCTACATGGGTATTATTAGTGTCGCCAAGAAAACCCAATAAAACCTTTTATCCCTCAACCATCCCTTGTTTGGAATAGCCCATCAAAGTTTACTATATCCATATCAATGAGATAACTTACATCAATATTAAGAACAATGCAATGAGTATGATAAGGATGCCACACAACAAAGCAAGCTCCAGCAAGAGACACCTCAACGACATGAAAACAACGATTAAGCAAAAAGGTAAACTTCAACTTTTCGACAATCCCTGTGGTGTTTAACATAGAGGTTCCTGCCGTGTACACCATCATACGTCTTAGATGTGAGTGTTTTTTAATGCTTTGAGTTCTTCAAGATGTTCGAAATGGAAAATCTAAAAAGCTTAATCAACGACACACCAAGGGAGATTTATCTGAGTCTAGTAAGGATATGTTTTTCAACCTTAGATATGTAAATATTACTATTACCTATGAAGTACGAAAGCGTCATAAATCTTTATCTCTGGAAGAATTTGTCAAGATCTACTATCTTCTCTGCACTAGATCCCCCTACAATGAATCATAACAAGGTAAAGATTTTTTTTATTACTGCTTCTAATTACTTCTTGTTACATATAAATAATGGTGTTTCTTCTCTTTTCCTTGAGGGTAGTGTGCACTATATGGTGAAACACATTCTCGTCCCAAGAAAATATA